AGCAACATTTGGCTGAGCATCATCGGGAAATTCTGATTAGAATTGGAGAATACCGAATTAAAAATAAAAAATAAAAAGGCAAGAAAAAACGAAGTGGCGCTGTAGTCATSGCATGAGTTTGAAAATGTGCAATTTTATTATTTTAGCGTTGGTTTAAAACCGCGAGAGTCACTAGGTGCTGTAGTCAACGCAATTTTCGCGTTGCCTTTTTGGCCAATTTTTTCAGAACTGCTAAACTTGCACATTCTGAACATGGGGTGTGCCTTGAAAGTACTTTCCCCAAAAGTGCCTTTCTTTGTTGAATCACTACCTTCAGGTCTTCAAATTTCCCCCAGAGGGGCCTTATCCGGTCTCTCGCGACCGCACCATGGACCCGGGCATCTCATTCCACCCAGTCTGGATGGCGATCTGAACGTACGGATCATAACCATGTTACATACATACATCCCCACATAACATACATACATACATACATACATACATGCATACATACATACATCCCCACATAATATACATACATACATACATGCATGCATGCATGCATACATGCATACGTACATCCATACGTACATGCATACGTACGTACGTACATACATACAGTCACACGAAGCGGCCAATCTTGTCAGGGGTTTGCACCGACATTGCATGCATGCATGCATACACGCATATGTACATCCATACGTACATACGTACGTACATACATACATACACTCACACGAAACGGCCATTCTTGTCAGGGGTTTGCACCGACACTGTTCGGATTGCAGGGTTGGTTTGTCAGGGGTGTTACTATCTCTGGGTGATGTGAGCTACTGAAGAATATGCAATGATCTTTTTCAGATCGATTTGTCTTAATGTAGTTAAGAAAGTAGTGGTGAGTCTGGAATACTCAGTATCCATCAGTCAAATGCATCACCCTGGGCAGACCATCAGGTTCAACCTCCTGAAACCTCCTTATGAGTAGTTGAAAATCTGATGATCAAATAACAGTCTGGCACAGTCATGCGTTTTTTCTTAGGTAGTTGTTTATGCACTGTATAGCAAACATGACAGCACACACACATGCTGGCGATGAACCACACAAACGTGCCCAACCATGCATTTTCTATTATATTGCCTATCTATGCTTTTTCATTATGGATGACTTGAGATGATTTGTGAAGGGAATGAGAGAGAGAGAGAGAGAGTCTGGGGTCTTTTAAAACAGCACACAGAGGGATGTGGGCAATCTGCGAGCATGTGATGTTTCAACTCGCGCTCAACCACAATCAACGTGGCGAGCCTCACACATGAGAGGCACAGTAACAGGGGAGCTGCAAGAAGAAGTAAAAGGAAAACGCCAAAGAAAGCCAACGGAAGGAAAGTCGAGAAAGGACCGTACAAGGACAAAGGCAATATAACGGTTTTAGTTTGCTTCATGTTGTCATAAAAGGGAAAACCCCAAAGAAAGCCAACGGAAGGAAAGTGAAGAAAGGACCGTACAAGGTAAAAGGCAATATAATTATATAACGGTTTTAGTGCCCTTCATGTTGTCTGCTATAGAGGTACAGCTGTTTCAAAGACTTGATCTGCTCATCTACTAGTGTGCCTCGTGTTTTTCAACTTTTTTGCTGTAGAGATGAAGCTGTTTCAATTTTGGATCTGCTCATCTGGGTGGAGAAGGGGTTGTTGTGGCGCGACTTTACAAAACACACACACACACACACCCATGCATGCACGCACACACACACGCGCACACACGCACCCACACACCCACACACCCACACATAAGCACACACACACACACACACACACACACACACAGAGGTTGCCAACCTTGCATTTTTAACTATGTGCCTATCTGTACTTCCTTTGTTTTATGGATGGTTCATGATGATTCGTGGATGAGAGGGAATTTGGGGTTTTAAAATAACACACAGGTTGTGGAGTTGTGTATAGTGAACATGACAACAATTGCAGACACACAGATTGACAGATCAGCAGACCAACAAATCGACCGATGAAGATTTTCTAGCGTAGTGTGTGCCTTTTTTCTCCTTTTCATTGCTCTGTCGCCGCTGTGTTTACCGTGAACTCTGGTAGGAGAAGACAGAATGAGTTCATTTTCATGACGATGCATGATACAACCAATGCAACATTTTGTGCACTCAGCTGCCATTAAGTATCCCAATGACTCCCAACCTACCGTTGAACTGCATTGCAAACTTACGCACTGCAGAACCCATGGGCATCCGAGGTGGTGCTCGTATTTCTTAACCTCTGAGGGTAGTTGGTGGCAGCAGGGTGTCCGAAATCGAGCCAGATTCTTCCAATTCGGATGGTTCAGCGATCGGCCGGACCATCCTCACCGACGGTCTGGGCCAGCGTGCACAAAGTGTCCACGTCTGTCTGCTCAAAGCCGACGATCTTCCCACTGTACAGATCTGGTGCCCCTCTGCCCAGTTTTCACCTTGAATGGTGATTATTGCTGTAAAATAGTTGGGATTTCCTACAAGGCATTACCTCGACAAGTCCAATCTCATGCAGGCGTTGGAACGAAAATTGTAGTTCTTCTTCCTTTTGAGGCTGGGTGGTCTTGGGACGCTGGACCCGGTTTCCAGCAGGTTTTTCTTTTCCTTGGCAACACCGGGTAGAATTGTGAGGTCCCCAGCCTCGACCACTTTTGTTTTTTTGAAATATAAAGCGATAACTTATATATATATATATATATCGTCAAATAGAACTGCCCGGTAAACCGTAGGCAGAAAGGGAGAAGAGGACAACAAACGAGGGGCTGTGACAAACTGTTTCGTCGTAGTTTCACCGACTCATCAGGAGGCTGAACCCTCAACAGTCTGTAGAATCCCCTCACCGATTACACTGTAAGTGATAATCCACCTTAACCAAAATCAAAGTAGACTATCACTCACCCACACCAGATGGAAAACTCTACAGACTGTCAGTTCACACGATATATATATCGTCATATATCGTCAAATAGAACTGCCCGGTAAACCGTAGGCAGAGAGGGAGAAGAGGACAACAAACGAGGGGCTGTGACAAACTGTTTCGTCGGAGTTTCACCGACTCATCATTATGTATATATATATATATATCGTCAAATATATATATATCGTCATATATATCGTCACAAACAGAACTGCCCGGTAAAACCGTAGGCAGAGAGAGAGAACAGGACAACAAACGAGGGGCTGTGACAAACTGTTTATATATATATATATATATCGTCAAATATATATATATATATCGTCTCAATATATATATATATATCGTCATATATATATTATATAATACAACCAAATCATAGGGCAAGGTGCTAGTCACTACCCAATGATAAAATACTTTTCTTGAAATTGCTTACTGACGTCATAGTCCTTTTCGTTTGCTAATCACTTTGCAGCCTCTTCTGTTTTTTCCTCGGAGAAAAGGCAAAAGTCCTGAAACAATGAGAACTAACCCCCCTCCACCCCCCCTACCCTGCACCCCCATCACCCCCCCCTCTCTACTTGCCCCTCCGTAACTTTTTCCCCACCCTTGGGTGTTGTTTATGCCTGAACAGTTACTTCCAGCACTATCAGCTTTACCATTTCTGTTTCACGGAGCTGCAAGATCACCATTCCCTCCAGGATTCGGTGGTGATCGAGACTGGACTGGCGCCCCCGTTATCTGAGGCTTCGACCAAAGAAGAGCTCGACGCCAAAGTGGTGAGTGTCGGTCGGTCGGTCGGTCGTAAACACACATTGTCATATAATAAGCTCTCGATCGAAAACACACCTACCGGAACAAATAACTGCAAAAATAAAATAGCGATCGTTATCAAATCTTTTGAAATTCAGAGAAAGACACGAGCTGGTCTTATTGACTGCCAAAAACAACGCAACGTTCGTTATATACGGTGTTACTAGGGTATCCATAATTAAAAAAAAAAAAAGAAAAAAAAAGAAAAGGGTAATCAATGCTGGCAGGAAGATTCCACATCTCTGTTTTTCTGATATGGTTCGAATTCTGGCCATGTAAGGGACGCTGGACCCGATTTCCAGCAGACGTCGCTCCCCACCAATAGATGGAGCTCCCCCCCAGGTGTTAGCGGTGTCTGCTCTTATCAGCACCATTAACACTGACGGGGGCGTGTTAAAATTTAAAAAAAAAAAAAAAAACGGTGTTACTATCACCTCATATTGTTGATAAGAAGTCTAGAGAACAATTTGCAAGGTGTGTCTGAATCCACGCCGCCTCTCGACCCGTTCTTGAACTTTCTTCGGAACATGATGTCAAACGAAATTGGAAATAACAGAGAAAAGACATAAATTTAGACGCACGCAAAGAGACCGGGAGAGAAAGATGAAATCATGATGGGTGCAGAAGAGAGAGCTTTATGCAAGTCTGAATCTGGATGTGGGGTAGCTGGCAGATGAACTGGCGTGGAGAATTGACTGACAGAGACAAATTGGTTAGGTGTGGGTACATTCGGCCGGCCTTCGACCCTCAAAATGAGCGAAGGAGGGAGAGGCCGAGGAGCAGAGGGTACAAATGAGCCTAGCGGAGGCAGTAACACCCATGAGCCGTTGAAATGCAGCAGACCGGAGTTCAAACCCAGATGCAACCAGATGACCAGAATAAATCGATTCTGAACGTCTGAATTACCTGGGCCCGGTCATATCTCCAGGCCGCCGCCACCCCTTCCAGAATCCAAACAATCTATTGGTATTGAAAGAAACTGCCCAAGGAAATAGAAAAGAAAACGAAACGGCGCCCTGGCAGTTCGGCAAAACTTGGCGTGCAGAGGGTTGCCTGGCTCAAGGCATTGATAGCTGGGCCAAGTACTGGTGGTTTACGGAGGAGGAGGAGGAGGAGGGGGAGGAATGGTGCACCCTGCAAGTATGGTTTTGTTGTTGGTTGGTTGGTATAACAGACTGCGGATGAAACAGACGAACAAGAGAGGAGGGGGCTTCCATCATAGCCCCGAATACCAGCAACAGAGCAGCAGATTGAGGGGTGGAGGAAGACATACCACCAGAGGAGCAGGGGAATATGCAGAGAGCGAAAACACCAGCACACAAAAGCCAAATGAAACAGTCTGGCACGGTCATGCTTTTTCTGTGGAGTTATGCAGTGGACATGACAACACACACACACACACACACACACACACACACACACACACACAGAGTGTACATGACAAAACACAACAACACACACACACACACACACACACACACACACACACACACACACACTGTACATGACAAAACACACACACACACACACACAGTGTACATGACAAAACGCACACACACACACACACACACACACACACACACACACACACACACACACACACAGAATCTGTCCCTTAACGCCACTTCCTCCCCTACCCTTTCTAAGCCCCCTACCCTTTCCCCCTCCCCTGCCCCTCACTCCCTATAGATATCCACCTCCTTCCCCTTCCCTTCCTCCCTCCTCCTGTGTACTATAGTAAATGCATACGAATGAGCATCATTAAGAGAACTGACAAAATATAAGTTGAAGATCTGAAGAAAAATGAATAGGCGTATACCTCCCCCTCTGCTCTGTATCCTTTGATAAGGTGCAAGTGTGCTAACGAGGCACACGGGGATGTGGGCAGCTGGCGCTCAACGGGGCCACCCTTGTAAGCACAGTGAAGAAAAGGGATTCCAAGTTTCAACAGATTTATGGTGCTCCATGTTACTTGCTATAGAGAGGTAAAGCCATTTCATTGTTTGAATATCTCAATTTTATGTGTGCTTCCTTTTCTGCAGGAAGACTAAAGCTGCTTCTATTTTCGTTCTACTCGTCTGGGTGGAATAGGGGCTGTTGTGGTGAAAATCCAAAACACACACACACATAAAACCTACTCGAACCGACTGAGAAAAGGCAGCCTCAAGCAGACAATGGACTATTGTCAGAATTCATGAGCTGCCTTGTTCTTTTGCCCAGCCCATGTGTGGCTAAATGCTAGTAACTGTTAGTAAATTCATGCTCTGTAACTCCGCTTACTAACGGTAACTGCCATGTGTGGCTAAATGCTAAATGCTAGTAAATGGTGCACACATGCTAGTTAACTCAGTTAACTGTTAGTAAATTCATGCTCTGTAACTCCGCTTACTAACAGAAACTGCCACGTGTGGCTAAATGCTAAACTCTAGTAAATGGTGCACACATGCTAGTAACTGTTAGTAAGCGGAGTCACAGAGCACGAATTTCTAAGCTCAAGGTTCAAAGTTCAAACCCTGATGGAACCAGATGAACAAAAAAGATAGGGACTATTCCCTTTTCAAAAAACGGTAAAAAAAAAAAAAAAAAAAAAAAAAAAAAAAAAACTGCCCTGTTCTTCATTCTGTTATGTGAGTTTCCTCCATCAAGTTGAGTTGCCTTCAAGACCTGGCATTGTTTCTACCTTCTTCCGAATACAACATACGTCGTACGGTCATTATACCTGTATTTTTTAGACCGAAAAGATTCACCGAATTCAGATGCAATGACCGTACATTGTATGCGGGGGAAGAAGGTAGTCACAATTTCAGACTCTTGTTCGGATTTGAACTCTTGTATTTGAGTGAAATCCTATACCCCCCATATGGCAGCCCCAGTGCACATTGGGGTGGCAACTAGGATATTAATTTGTAACACATGGAAGTAGTTGCTAGTAGTGATATCAGACCCATAGACACTGTAGGTATCCTTTCTCCACTTGCTATGAACTGGCATATCCAGCTCATTCATGAATAGATACAAGTGCTGGAACATGGTGATTACACAAACAAATGGGTGATTCCGTCCGCAACCAAACAGCGCCGGGGGTGATCCCACGACCATACGGAATGGGTAATCTGCAACCAAACGGAATGGGCGATTCGGCAACCAGCCAGAGCGGGTGATTCGGCCACCCAGTGGAGCAAGAGATTGCGCGACGAAACGTAACAACAGGCGATTCCGCAACCAACGGGTGCAAAGGTGAAAGCAAGCAAAAGTGAAGCAAGAGGCCACAGCAAATCGCAAAGGAAAAGCAAAGTACAGCAAAGCAACACAGAACACACAGCATAGCGCGGCATAGCACGGCAATCGTAACAGCATAGCACGGCAAAACAAGCGGCCAAGTAAATGGAATATCATGGGAGATGGCCACCGTGTGCTGTGCATGTGTACAACCTGGCAAGAGGTGTAGGCCACCGAGTCATACATCCGTACACCTGGCCAGGGGCGTAGCCCACACCGTGCTGCACAGGCGAACACCCTACCTTGTCACAGGCGTAGCCCGCCCACTGAGCTGTACACATGTGTGTAACCTGGCCACAGGTGGAGCGCAATCTGAGCTGTACTCATGTACACAAACGTATCTGGGTGCAGGCGTAGCCCACTGAGTTGTACATGAGTACAACCTGGCCAGAGGTGCAGCCCACTCTGTGCTGTACATGCGTACAAGCTGCCTCACAGGTATAGCCATCCCACTGAGGTGTACATGTGTGCACCCTGGGCAGATGTTACATCTTCGACGCCACACGGGTCCTACCGGACCCGACATAGGGGTAGAGGGACACAGTAGGGCCAAAGGCCCGACCTTGGGGGTTACTACAGGCCGTAAAGGCCTCACCTTGGACCAGACCCGACGGGCAGGCCCAAACGACATTACCGTTTGGGCCTGGCGGCGCTCTTGAGGCTGCCGCCCGCCGGTTGGGGCTGAACCGTCCATCTGGACGGTTCAGGGCACGGCCAGGCCTCACAGCATTGAGGCCGGCCTCTGCCCCACCGGTATAAAGAACCAGTCCAGCCTCAGTCGAAGGGATCGACCTACCGGCACTCTACCGGTACGGTATGGAACAGCGCACATTAGCGCTGGCGCTATCTTTAGCGCAGGAGCAGCGAGGAGCAGTGCAGCCGCGAGCGGAGCAGCAGCAGGGCGACTGAGCCAGACCGGCGGCCATCGCTGCCTGAGGTATCAGGGAGCCGGAGGTTCTCTCCTCCCTCCCATCGTCAGTCCCCTCTCTCTCTCTCTCTCTCTCCTCCTCGGCTCCTCCTTCTTCTTCTTCTTCTTCTCTTCAGACTCCATCTTCTTCTTCTTCTTCTCTTCAGACTCCATCTTCTTCTTCTTCTTCTTCTTCAGATTGGAGACTTATACTAGTTGGACAGAGATCAGTGTTGGGCTTCGGTGGTATGAGACTGTGGTACTTACAGGACTGGAGACTTGGAGATTGTTGGGTTTGATACTTGGCGGCATCACAGTTCGGACACCGGTTACATTTGGACTCTGTATCTCCGACATTGGTGACTGATTGTCCTCGACATTTTGATCTTGTTGGATGACATTTTGGATTACCATATCGGTGACCTATCGGATTCTATTCCGGTGACCTTCCGGTGCTGTCTACCTCCCCCACCTCTTCGACTCTCCTCCCACCTTTCATCTGTGTATGAATGTACGGGATCTGGGCATCGTCCATGCTTGGCCCAGACCCCACCATCTCACGATTGTATGTGTGTGGAGTGATTCTTGAGTCAGTCTATGTGAGTTGGTCCGTTTATCAGACTTCCGCTGCATACATGCTAATCCTACATTGGTTGATCTTTGGTTCTGCCCACACTCATTGAAGTATGCAACAGTTTTGGTATCAGAGCAGACCAATTACGGATCTGCTCACCAGGTAAGCCTGATTTAGGAATTAGATTGTTCTTCAATCTTCCAAATCAGCGCTGATTTACTATCAAGTTCAAAGTTGCAAATTTTTTTTTTTCTTTTTCGGTATTCTGTTTATTTGGGCACTTCCGTTTCAGTTCAGTATTCGGACTTATTATTCAGATTTCTGTTTTCGCCGGTATGCTGTTTTATTAGGTTCCGATAAATTGATACTAATCCAACATTCTGTTTGATTCGGATTTCTGGTTAGTAATTCGTAATTAGGGTTAAATCAGTTTTCTGTTGATTTCGGCATTCTGATTTCTTTCGGTATTCCGTTTTTATTTCGGCATTCTGATTTTTAATCCAGTATTTCGTTTTACAAATCGGCATTTCCGTTTTAGCGCAGTAGTGGAAATTAGGGTTACGCAATCTTTTGGTTTTAGATCAACTTGGGGAATTCGAACGTTTTGGGGACCGTAAATCCGGAAATTCCGCCAAAACGCGGAAAATTAGGGTTGGGACCGAA